ATCGCCTTGATCCATAACCCTTTGTTAATCAAAACAGGTGTGTTCTGGAATGTTGATCCTGCGTACACAGTATACACTGTGAGAAGGCAAGACGCTCACACAGACACATCCCCAGTATACCACAAATGTTAACGTATGATGTTTGATTAAATGAAATCCAACACTTGAAGTTTTCAGAGGAAAAAACGATTGAACTTTTTTTCCCCCCTATCTTTCATTTCTCCATTTCGCTTTGTGCCTCTAGGCGTCGCAGGTAAAAGATGATCGGTATCCGAGCGAGGGCTCGCTCGGTTGCTTGGTGTGCTGTGATGTTGTGGAGCCTCAAAGATATCAGTGACTCCTTTAATCTGTATTCTTCTTGGCCGTGCTCTTGGTGTTTCTACTTTCATATTGTATGCTTTTGTTGCTGGCATCATTAAATTTATTCTTATTAAATGATCAAACCATTTCAGTGTTTGTTTGTGAATGAATTTAACTATATGTTTATTTCTTGTGATTTCTTTATTCCTTACGTGATCTCTTCTGGGTTTGCACACGGCCTTTATCAAACATCGCACCTCGGCTGTGATCATTTTACTTCGTGTTCTATAGTCAATGTCCAAGTATCACACTGACAGCATTATGGTGGTATACAGATTTAATAAATATAAATTATTTTTTTTACCTTGCGTCCTTTTAATAATTGTGTTCATGTGATGGCTTTCTGATTCCATAAACCGCTACTACTAGTAGTAGTAGTGCTAGAGCATTTGGCGGTGAACGTTTACATCCGCTGCAGGTTTTCTGGGCTTGTAGCAGATTCATCCTTTCATGAACACTGATTATCACACTTAAATTACACTAACACCAAAACGGATCCTCTAAAGATTCACACACTCTTTACGCCACACCTTGAACGATAAATACATTCTTCTTGAAATGGTTGAACTAGCCTTGTTAAAACAACGAGAAACCTGAACCACACGATAGACGTGCTAAAAAACTTCTCGCAAACGTCAAGTGAGTTGCCAGTTTGGCGGTTTACAGCCAAAAGAGTACATTAATTACAGTCAAAGAAAGTAAAGGTGATTTTAGCACAATTAATTAATACGTCGGATGTATGATAAGCAGGCTATTTTACGAATTAGTTATTTACAACACAAAAATAACAAATATGTCCGACACAAAATATACACACTTGCAAGTCATCAGGAGCCTCTATTGGCAGTGATGAAACGTTGCAAGCTAGCTTGGTTCGGGCACTTGGTGAGACATGATTGCAAAGACTGTACTTCAAGGAACACTGAAGGGGGAGGGGTGTGGGGTGTAGGGTAGTCGAAGAAGAAGAAGAGGGCAAAGAAGAACCTGGAATGACAACATCAAGAAATGGGCAGGACTAAGTTATCATTCACTTATTCATCAAGCGGAAGACAGGGAAAAATTGGGAGTCTTGTGTGCTACTGCTTACATCGATACACCTCCACGACCCTAACGGGTCAAAGGTTTTGTAAGCATGCTATCATTTTAGACTCATGTTTAAAGATCAATCGGCGCTTGATGGCTTATGCGGAATTGAACCCAACACCTTCGGGTCAAATGGGGCAACTGATACTATACCCATAGTTTGTATTGTGCTCGATATTTGATGTGGTCAACATCGTGCCGGCCGCCCTTACTTCCTATGACATTAGCTGGTATCCCTTTCAGGTTTAAAAAAAAATTAGTTGCTCAGTTCCCTTTTTTGCGACTCCCTGGCTTAGAGGTTAGCGAATTCTGTTAACAATTTCACCACCCTCCAGTACTAGAGTTCCTCTTCGGCGGTGGACTGTTAAAAATGGGCGGGGGGGGGGGGGCAATTCATCTCAACCGCGGTGGTACTAGAGTTCCTCTCCTGCGATGGACTGTTTAAAAAAAAGGGGTAGGGGGACACATTCCTCTCCCGCGGTATTATTACAGTTCCTCTCCCGCGGTGGACTGTTAAAATGTTCAATAAACGCTGCACGCAGATATCGCCAACATCAACATAAGGTTAGTTTAACTGCCGTGATATTGATTATCAGATTCTTAGATAACAAATCAAAGACCTAATTACCGCAATCAAACACTTGTCTTCGTTAAAATTTGATTTGTGTTTTAACTATAAGGTCAAACCGGCACATTCCGTGACAGGAAACATAAACGCGGGAAGTCAAAACAGAGTTTCCCAGTCGACAAGTTGCAACTGCCTTCTTTTATTCCAGGCACTCTATTGTATGACAATTAGTAAGTGTCAGATGAGTCTTAAAAGACAAAAACTTCAAAGACAGTAATTACAACGATATGCAAACCAGCACAGGAAGGATGTGACTCCACAGTTCGCTGTTTAACGACTTGATCAAAGACCACATTTTCTTGTGGTCAAGAAACGCATGGAAGGTACGGTAGTGTCTAGACGATTGCAATCTTTCCGAAGGTCTTGAATTTGAAGTACCATTAAGGCAATTTCTTTTTAAAACACTGTATTACCCCAGATCTGCGCAGGCACCAGCTAGTGGTCGTGTGATATTCCACGTCTGCATCGCCCATGAAACAGCGTACAGATGTTTTCGTATGTTTGTGAGACCAGACAATTCCTTGCTGTGTATATTTATTTGCATTTGCGTGATTGCACGTGATTAAACTTCCATTGTGCGCAAACAAAAAATGCAACAGCGAAAAAACATCTTCATCGTTGATAGTAAGTCCACATGTTGATTTTTTATTTAGACAAGACAGATGTTTCTGCGCAAAAAAAGAGGCAGCGGAGAATTCAGGGAAACAGATGTTTGATTCAAGAACGGAGATACGGGTGGTTTTGACCGTGGCATACTGGTTCTAATTTCTCTTATAACAGGACTTGTGTTTCTTTCGAAGGATATTATCGATCTGTGGTAGGGAGGTGATTGGTGTATTTCTTTGTCAACTGATCGGTTCAAATCCACATGAAGAGGAACCCTGGGCTGCTTGAAACTATTGTTGATCCAAGAACTGTTGAGATTTAGTATATGCTGCCGGCGTACCATTTAGATCCGATAGAATACAATCATTAAAACTGTGAACCAAACAGGATATGCGTGAGACATGTATTTCATAAATGGTGTGAGGTTATTAGCGTAAGGTGTGGTGTCAATGTCGTTTCACTAGCTTCCGGGTATTTTGTGAGTATTTCATGTGTTTTTGTGTTCCCATTTATGTTTGTAGGTGCATGCATGTGTTGGTGCACGCATGTCTTTCGTTTTTTTTTTTTTTTTCCACGTTGAATGTTTTGTTACTGTGCCGAACATGATTTGTGTTGTAAACTGCAAATTCAGAAAAGGGTGAGTGGCCTGTTGCCAGAAAACATGTGGTGCCTTATGCGATTAATTGCGTGCGCAACTACTGATCTATCACAACTGCTGATTCTATCGACATTGAAATGCATTTATAATGTTCAACTGTTTGTTTTGGAACTTCTTATTACTTCCTGACGCATTTAACATACATTTGTATACCGTTGAGAGAGTCGCCGTGGCGGAGCGGCTAAACGCTCGCCGTGGATCGGAAGGTCGTGGGTTCGCTCACTAGCGGTGCCACTTTTTTTCAAAAATGGCCTTGGCTCCTAGGTCGACTCAGCCTTGAGTGAGTACCGGGCGCAGCCTCGAGAAGTAAAGGCGGCCGGCGACTCATCGACACACATCAGTGGTGCTTCTGTGAAACCAGCTGTAACAACAACAACAAAACCTTATAGGTGCGAAATTTGAGAAACCAAACTCTGTCACTAGATAACTGAAAACATACTTTGAAAAAAAAAAAAATGGTGTTTGTTGTCTCTATTTTTGTTTACTTCGCAATCTGTGTTCGCTAGTTTTAAAATTGTTTCGTTTTGAAACATAATTTTTGGGTTGCTCGTCAGGGAAAGAATAGACACACTGTCAAATAACAAGCATTTCGTATGATACAATAAATTAGATATGCTTTCTTCGAAATTTGAGTGCATCTGCCTGAAAAGCTAGGAACTAAAATTATGCATGCTGATAAACCAGATCTGTAAAACGGATGTACACGTAGGACTCAAGTTCTAGAAAAAGATCAAACCGCTGGATTGCTGCGGTCCTGTTTAAAAAGCGGACGAACAACTAGAACTTTCTGCCGGAGTTTACGGTAAACGCAAAGAACCAGAAGAAGAAAAGAAGAAGAAGAAGACAAGGGCTGACTGACTGACTGACTGACAGGCTAACATATATACTAGAAGACAGTCTAGAAGGCTTACATGATAAATTGAGGTATCAGTTCATTAAATAATACACACATTTTTTAACTAGCATATAGATAAAGACTACAGCAACGCACAACGGGGTACTCACTTACCCTGGAAGCTAAGAAACTGCAGAACGTAGAGGTGCTCAGCCGTGTGGATGTGATTATACCTCCCTAGAAGCTCCCAACGGAAGCCGACATTGGCTAGAGACAGACAGACTTTCAAAGAGCGACGTTCTGTCAAGAACCAGTTGATTGAGGTTGACGATCGACAGAGAAAGAGAATACGCTGGTCGATAAATAGACAAGCGTGCCATTGACAGGTTGACAGATAGAAAGAGAAACAGGTGGACAGATTCCTAAGCTAACAGGGAGGCTCTTTATCTGAAATAGTCAGACAAACCAACAGACAGAGAATATACCGATTGACTGTCAGGCAGCTTCATTTCATGACAGACATGCTGAAAGACAAGCTCATTAACTGATGCAAATAGACATAAAACAGGTTGACAAATTGACAGATGAATGGACGTGCCGGAAGTCTGGAGGATCGATAGATGGGTTGGTACGTAGGTAGGTAGGCAGAGAACTATTCACATATTTTATTTCTTCACATACCGGGAATTGCGGACCGTGAGACAGACATGAGGATCTGCTAGCGCACAGACAGACTTACAGACAGACACATTGTATTAGTATTTAATATTTGTTATTGAACGATCTCAAATGGGCGTCACTTGATCTTTCCACCAGAGTAATCTCCCGTG